TCTTGGTCTCCTCCCCGTCCGAGACGACCCACCACACCGTGCGCACGGCCTTCCCGGACGCCGACGGCCGCGAGTACGTCTGGTACGCGTGCACGATCAAGGGCGGGCGCGAGACGCGCGACCTCGACGTCGTCCAGCTGTGCACGGCCGTCCAGGCCCTCGGGGCCGGCGAGATCCTGCTCAACGCCATCGACCGCGACGGCAGTAACCGCGGCTACGACCTCGAGCTGATCGACATGGTCAAGGCCGCCGTCGGCGTGCCTGTCATCGCGTCCTCGGGCGCCGGCGTCCCCGCCCACTTCGAGGAGGTCTTTCGCAAGACCAACGTGGACGCAGCACTGGGTGCTGGCATGGTGAGTTTTCTCCCTGCTTCTTTTTCTCTATCATCATAGTCATCACTCACCACTCCCTTGCCCGCTTCTGTGTCGCCTTGTTCCTAGCCACTGTCCCCTTTCTCTGCGTCTGCAACCCACCCTTTTAAATTCGAATTGGAGATATCCGCTTACTGACCTTCAAACCCGCCCTGCCCTTCCCGCGCCACACAGTTCCATCGCGGCGAATACACCGTCGCCCAAGTCAAAGAACATCTCGGCCAGACGGGCCTTCTGGTTCGACCGTTTGAGAAGTTTTGAGACAGACAGACCGATCGGCGGCACGGCCTCGCTCGCTCGCTCCCCTGCTCCCCTGCTCCCTTGCCGTGCAAGCCGACATGGGTTTTTCACCACCATAGATATCTAGCAACTAGATGGAACTTGGATTGTCCTTGTGCTTGGTATTATGACGACTAGAGATGCCGGCGAGAAGAGGGAAAAGGGACATGAAAGTTGTGCATAAACAAGTGGGAAGAAATAGATTTCATTTGCATATCTCGTCTACTGCTTTGCTCGCCTCGTATGCCATGCCGTATTATAGAACGCCTCTGCTATGCAATTCAGCGTGGAAAGGAATCGACGCAACAGAATTGATGATGCTTGGATAGTGGCCGTGACGCTGTCGTTAATCGCAGCAACATCCGCCGGGGTATGTCGTTGGACCTGCCAGAAACCATTGAATAGCATGCTCGTGTGCCCTCTTGGTCTGGGTCTCTTGATCCTGGCACTTGAACCGCTCCTTTCTCTCGCCGCACGGAGAAGGGCTTTCAGTGACCCAGTAGCAAGTACCCCACATGATCAAATTCTAGCTCAGTCGTCCGTAGACCGTGTAGTGATGTCCTGGATCGTTCCCTGCTTATACCGCAAATCACGAACAAGGCCTTCTTCCCACGACAGCCTAAGTTCGTAGTGCAGAACTAGTTGCTTGTCGCTCGACTTCTTTGTGTAATAGTCGTGTGTCAATGGGAAACCACCACTCATAAGAGGTATAGCCCAAAAGAAGATCCGGGGGTTAGGATGAAGAATTGTAGCGGCTGGCGTTCATAGGACGCGAAGTGTTGAACCCTCCAAGCCTAATGTGAGACGGACGGGACCGGCTTCTCGAATATCTCTACCGCCTTTCCGTAACAGTCTGATATCGACATTTCGATATTCAGCTTCGTCATAAGTTGCCGAGCCCTGATGTTTCGCGTTCACGAGTCCTTCTTGTTCTGTACGGATCGTGATTGGGAATCTTTACCCATGGCTATGATGGCATTGAGCATCTTTTCACGAGTATCTTGTGTGAGTTTATCAACGTCCACGGCCGTGAGGCCATTTGTAGGAATAGGATCAAGAACTGTACAATGTGTTAGTGCGAGTCCGTAGTTCATGCACAATTTCCAGTCGAGCATTTAACCAACCTTTGACTCGGATTGTTCCAGCATTGAACCTCTTAGCCTTGGGGCTCAACACACTGCTATAGTTCTCTGCCACGATCGGGACAATAGGTACACCACCCTGCACAGCTAGATGGAATGCCCCCTTCTTGAATGGGAGCAGCATCGGCTCCACCGAGTAACTTCTCGTTCCCTCGGGAAATATGACAACGCTCTGTCTCTTCTCCCGCATGGTCCTGGCAGCACCCTCAAAAGCCTTCAAGGCTGCACTTCTGTCCACCCGATCAATGAAAACAGTGCCCGAGAGCGTCATGAACCAGCCTAGGAAGGGGACGTTGCGGAGTGACTTCTTGGCCGTGACAGAACAGTATTTTGGCCATATCCAGCCTAGTAGCAGTACATCAAGCTCTGTTTGGTGGTTGAGGATGAAGACGGCGGGGCGGGTGTTGTTTAGGATCTCGTAGCCGTCGTCCAAGATGTCGAATTTCACCCCCACTGTGTAGGTGCAGAGATTCTTAAACGCTTTGGCTGTCGTCCATTGTGCATATGCGAAATGTAGACCAAAGACTCGGAGGACAGCAGAGGAAATTGTGCCATACGCTGCGCAGGCTATGAGGCTCAGGTAGGCGGCCATGGTGCGCGCGACGAAGCCGAGGATTTTGGGAGGCTTCGGAAGATAGGTATAGAGAGCGAAGCAGGATAACATGGTGACGAAGTAGAGGCCTAGAAAATAGAGAATGTAGCGAAGGAGGAAGAACATTTTGGTGGAGGGTTGGTATCGATCGGGCGGGTCGGCGAGGAAGCAGGACCTAGCTATGTATCTTGAAGGTGAGGAGCCACCAAGGGCTGCTTCTTCGACGACTAGGGTAATGATAGAATCGTAGGTGGTCTCGAGGTCAGCGACATGAGGGTTACAAGATCAGAACCTTCAGTGTCATCTCTAGTAAATGGTCACAAGGTATGAATTTCTTCTCAAAGTTGGAGAATAGGACGGGATGGTATGGGATGGTGCTCTCAATATTCGACCCCACACCCACAACTTTGGTCCCTCAGCAATTTTTTTGGTGGCCTCTCAACAGCGGGCAGCTGCGTCATATCAGATCGGTCTAGTGGGCGACACGTGACTACGACGCGTTCAAGGTACAAGGCTGGCAAGGCTTACCATGGTCACGTGGATTGGTGTTTCTCAGAGACATCCGACGCGATGGAGGCGGCGCGCTGAGGGAGCCTAGCTTGCATTTCCCCCCTCCAATGTCAAATCGCGACTCACCTATTCCTTATGTCATAGCAGAACAACCTCCTCCAGGCTAGATCTGTTCACTCTGTCACTGCGATGCCTGCGTAAGGTCTTGTCTGATATGTTCTTAAAAGAACAATTGCTAACTATCTGACAGTGTAGGTGACCAGCACAGGCCAAACGGCAGCACGACAGCCAACCCATTCGAAGAGCGTCCGCCACGAATAACAGAATATACTGCTCAAGAGATTGCCACCCTGCAAAGTCGGCTAGACAAACAATTAGGACCGGAGTATATCTCATCACGCGCAGGACCAGGTGGCTCAAAAGTACACTATCTGGCAGCGGACAAGGCCATCAGTCTTGCCAATGAGGTTTTCGGCTTCAATGGCTGGAGCAGCTCCATTCAAAACATACAGATCGATTTTGTCGACGAGAACCCTCAGACGGGCAAGATTTCTCTCGGTCTCTCCGTCATCGTGCGGGTAACGCTGAAAGACGGCTCCCACCACGAAGACATTGGTTACGGACAAATTGAGAACTGCAAAGGCAAAGCAGCTGCTTTTGAGAAGGCTAAAAAGGAGGGTACCACGGATGCATTGAAGAGGACTCTGAGAAATTTTGGCAATGTCTTGGGCAACTGCGTCTATGACAAGAGTTACTTGTCCAAGGTCACAAAGATGAAGGTTGGAAGCACCAAATGGGACGAGGGTATGCTCCATCGACACGCAGACTTTGCACCTAAAAAGGCGCCCGAAGAGAGAAAGCCAATTGTCTCCACACACGCACAAGAAGAAACGCCTGAATTTGAGGACAGTTTTGAGCTTGCAGACTTTGAAGAACTTGATTTTGATGGTGTCGACATGGGGCATCCAGATGAAGTCTCATTACCTGCGGAGCCGACAGATTCAACAAACAAGTCAGGTCTTTCGGCCTCAGAACGAATTCACCCACAGACTAGGGTTGATCTGATGACTACGCCATCCAAACCAGCAGCCAGAGCAAGCAGTGATCCTCGAGTGGCGCTCCCAAAGCCTGCCCAGACGCTTCCACCCACTACTGTCATCCCCCAACCTCTGCCCGGCCAGCGGCACCAAGCGGCACCGGTTCCTGTTGTAAAACCCTTGACAGGAGACTCTCGACCGCCTATTGACAATGTCTCTCGGGCGGCTTCACCTCTACCCCCCCACCATTTGCCTCCCCAGCAAGCAGGTCAAGGCGTTGGCTTTTATTCAGCCAGGGCTGCTGAAGTTCTGGATGAGAACAACAACGTGATTCCTGCTGCAGCGGCGACAGCACCCCGATTCAACCCGCATGCTGAAAGTCCATCTATCCGCAAGACCTCTGGGGTCAATCACAACAGGTCTATTCCCTTGAAACGAGACTTGACTCCAGATACCACCAATCTCCGGACCAATGTCATCAACCCACAATCCGATCCGATGAGACGATTGGGTGCTCCTGGCCCCAGCGGACCGATTCCAGGCGCGCGAGGGCCTAATACTTCTGCATACCGACCTCCCACGAGACGAGGACCTTTGGACTCAGGCCCTGGTCACGCACTGAGCTTAGTTGACCCTAGTGGAGTTGACCGCGTGTTGCAGGCAGCGAAGAGAACACCGCTGGGAGACGTGAGCAATGTGCAGCAGCATCATGTAACATCGATCACTGCCGACGGGGCTGATGCTAAGAGACAGCGGGTAGACGGCACTGAAGAGGTGGTCACCGGGAATCCAAGGATTAGTGGATAGAGAGTGATTGATCATAAAGAGAGGGTGGGAGGAATCTACCAAGTCAAGCACTTTGGCGCAGACTACCGCCGTGGTCGGCGATGGGAGTTGGCGGGTTGCAGGAGAGTGCATTTGTGTGAAAAAGTCCCGCCTCTGGTTTTGGAGGCCGTCGTTCGAAATTCCCCTTAGCGATCTTTTTTTTGCGCCTTTTCTTCGAGCGCGTAAATGACCGAATCTTGTGATGATTATGTACCACACCTACATATGCGTAGATTGTAAGCTTTCATGTTTTTGCACCAGCGTCTGCCTTGCCGATGTCGATACCGAATCTTCGTTGTTTTTGTCCTCCTGCTGCTGGACTATTCGTTCCGTTATCTGGCGAAGTGTCCCACCACCCCAGGCTGAAGACGTAACCCTCAAACACTCTCTTCAGCTCGTCGTCGCTCATAAACTCCGCACCGGCGGGGATGATCCTCCTGTCAATGACCTCGCTGCCGGCGAGCAGGCTCATGGTGCCCACGATGCTCCACGGACCCTGGGGCAGGATACGGCGCATGTTGCGCCGACCGTACACGAAGAGGCCGCAGGCGAGCATGATGCCGAGGAAGATCTGCAGGATCAGCTTCGACGTGGCGTTCTGTTTGAGCCGGAGCCTTTCGACGCCAGAGACGGACCCGCGGTACTGGGGCGCCGTTGCGGCTTCGGTCTGGTTCAGGCTGCGGCGCATGGTGCCGTGGATGAGTTGGGCCATGTACCGCCGATACATGCGCTGAGTGGCGTCAACGAAGCGCTGCGTGTTTGCAGGGCCTGTCAGCTCGTCGGCGGGGATTCCATCGGGGCCATAGTTGACTTGGGAGTAAAAGTAGTCGGTCAACAGAGTCGGGGCCTCCCGGTCGAAGGGTGCGAAGGTCTTCGAGTTCGTAAACCAAAACGTGCTATTGAACGCCTGAAGCCACCTTGCTGAGCTCTCATCGACTTTCGGCTCCGACTTGACCTGAAAAGAGCCGTCCGAGGAGACTATGAAGATAGTCTCGGCGTGTACCTCTTCCAACCCTTGAATACACGTCATTGCTGTCACATTCTCCGTCGAGGTGACATTTTCGACAAAGTAGCCAGACATGAATGCCAAGGATGGGCATCCAGGGGGATTGCTTGCCGCCCCCAAGGTATACCCTACGTTATCATCGGTGAGGAATGCGTCTGTCGCGCCCTGGTTATTGAGAACCACTTGCTCATGTATGGAAAGACCACCCGGATCCCCACAATTATGCTGTACATCAGTCGCGAACGTAATATTCGTCACTAATTCGTTGTCTCCAGTCAAGAAGTGTGGGCATGTCGGGGGTAGATCGGCGTAGAACGTGATGTGGTTGTCTCGACAGCTAGGATCAGCATGAGCACTGGGTGCTCCCTGCATCGTCATGTTCATGTTCTCTCGGGGGACCAAGGTGCAGTTAAGTGATGCCCTCATAGCCACAACATCGGCGTGAAGGGTTAGTGGGCTTGCAGAATCGCCCAGCTGTTTCAGAGCCTCGGCTCCTAAGGAAGAGGGCTCAATCTTCGGAAATGCCAGTCCGTCGTATGTGAATGCTGGGTAAGACCCGTTGTTCTGTTCGATCAGCGTGAAAATAGCACCAGCCGACCCGTCTGATGTAGTCCCGAATGAGGGCACAAATTTGTCGGACGTGGTGACGGAAACACCGAGAACAACTGGGACGCCTTCAATAGTATAAAGGCCCGAAGCGATGATTGTCAACAAACTGCCAATCAGGGCGGCCATTGATGCAACAGCAGCTTCCATATGGCGCTCACGAACCGCTTTCAACGTGGACCAAATTGGGAGCTCGCCGGATGATGTCCTCAGCAATGTTTGCTTTGCCGGCGCACTTCCACGAGTCAAAGCCTGATACGGGGCAAGTGTCGCTGCAGCGAAATCGATCGCATCGTACATGATTGCGATACATATCAGAACGACTGACGTAAGGATTGTCGGCAGTGAACGATAGATACCAGAGCTTGAAATGGTGACCAACCCATTGTGGGCGTCTGATTCGCGTTGCAAGACTTCCAAAACCGCAATGACCGTGAGCGGTAGCCCAAGAGCTGCTGACATGAACCAGGGTGTGGTAGAGCTAGTTTCCCACCAAGAATGATTGCCGTGTTCATCGGCTGGTCGTTGTTGAGTTCCTTCCTGCACGGTGGTCTTGATAGAGAATTCCGGGTTTGCACGCTCACTGTCAAAGGAAGAAGTGGCCACTAAATCCTCAAGATGAGCATTGGACTGTGCACTTGAGTAGCTCGAGACTGCCTCCAACGACCTCTGAAGCGTTGGACTCGCGGCAAGTATAGCTGCTTGAGCGCCAATAGAGTTGGGCTGCCGCGAGACCACGTCTGTTGTGCGCCATTGGAGAACAGCGGCAGCGGCGAGTGCCAGCAAAGCAAACCCTGCGCACATGGCCCACACGCTCAGCTCTCGGACTTGAAGTCTTGGTTCCTGATATACAACGCTGGCTGTGGTTGTGGCGTTGTCACGTTTGCGTAGATATGAATGGGCAAGTTGAACACCCACGCCCTTGAACGCTTTTTCGGCAGTGGCTCTCAATATTGTGGCATTTAAAAGATCAACAGCGGATCCGCCCGCAAGGATGGCGAAGAAGTTGGCAAAGTCATATATCTTCGGAGCTTCTGGTGTAGGGGGAAGGCTATTTACGAAGACTTCATTCTCGAAAGCCATACTCAGATTGTAGTATGAGTATCCAGGCAGCACATCTGCCACGCGCTCCAACGGCCCGGTCGTGTTAACTCCGCCCTTTGAGGTGGGATTGGCGGTATTTATCGTAATGTTGACCTTGTCGATGGTGTATCCGCGAGAACAAACTAGTCCAACCGATTCGGCCAAGTTGACGTTCCAGGCAGCGCTAGTATTTTGGGGGTGCCCTGTGACCTTTTCAAATGTGATGTCTATCAAGGTGAGCGCGTAGAGGTTGGAACATGGATCAAGATCGTCAATTGGTGGACCGAACGTGTTCCAGCTCTCGTCAGAGATGATGGATCGCCCAACAGGGCAATTGGGTGCCTGGCACAACTGGTAGTAGGACGACATTGGAGGACAATGAGCAGGAGACAGTGTAAGCCTCAGTTCTAGGAGATCTCCGTAAGGGTATGAACCATCGTTCGACCAAGTAAAATTGTTGCCAATCACTTCCGGTGTGACCACTTCGCAGTCGAAGAAAGGGAACACGCCGTTCACCGTTGCTGTCACGGTTGAGTTTGCAGGTAGAGACTGTAAGTCAAGAGTATCATATGCGACACTCGCTGACGTGCCGTATTGATAATTGAGCCCCCGTTCTTGTATGCCGTAGAACTCCATCAGTTCGGTGTCAATGGCAGAAGGCCCAATTGTGAAATTCGTGCCCACGAATTTTGAGTTCACAAGAGCATCAGAGACGACTTTGGTGTCGGAGGTCGGTGTAAGTACAAGCAGACCAGTGCTGAAGACGATGACAATTCTCAGCAGCAGCATACCCACACCACTAGCCACCACGGCCCAATCGTGGTTTGGTACAGCTTTTGCCAGAGCTAGGGGTAAAGGAGGCGAGATATAGTCTAGGAGTAGAGATTCCTTGGCCGGCGCTGGGCCATGCCGAAGATGTGACCATGGTGCCAAAGCTCGGCAATGGAAGTCAACCAGTCTCCAGGGCACAAGGATCACAACGAGCAGTGCGGTCGGACCATAAGTCCATGCATAATGATTGCTTGTGATGGCAGTTCTGATTCCATTCTCGATTTGCGCAAATCGCGCCAGGATGACCAGGCCGGCGATCAGGGCTAAAAAGAGTAGAATAAATCCAAACAGAATTGGTTTGCGTAACCAAGTCGGGTTCCACGTTCGCGGAAGAACTTGCGCGTCCTTGTTTTGGGGGATGTCATTTTGCCAGACGAACGGGGCTTTTCTAGATGCTTCCGAGTCCTCCCACTGATCTGGAAGAGAAGAGGTCTCGAAGCTATGACTGCTGCCAACCTGTTGTTGTCCGGCGATCTTGCCGTGATGCTGGGTCGGACTCGGGGCGTCGAGATACGTCTGAGGGTCGTATGCAGTCTCTGCGTGATTGAAGTCTGGAAAAGGAGGCAGGGCCCAGGAGGATCTGTCGTCGAAGGAGATCATAGGGTATGCGTCATCTTGTAAGGCGCCATCATAGAAAGCACTGCTGTGTCTTGAGTTTCGTGGCAGCGGCTTTCTCTTCACTGGGGATGTTTGCTGAAACGACCTGTTCGCCATCGCGATAGATGCGGTGTTGAGGATGGCGATGATGACAAACAAGAGACTGGGAGCAAAGCCAATAAGCCGTCCAGACAGGCTGTCTGCCAGATAAGGCTGGCTCTCTGCTCAGACGTTTTTGCACCACGCGGCCGGAAGGCCAGGTCTCAAAACGTCAATGCGGTTCAGGCGAGCCAGATTTGACTTTGAACCCTGCAACCGACTGCCCCGCTACTCGTACAATATAGAGTAGGCCGCACTTTGAGCCCTGGCATTCTCTTTCCATGGCGAAAGTGCCCGCACAAGTAGTCGAGATTAGCTCGAGTTGTCTGTTGATCTTGTCTGGACCCCACAAGAAGCGGCTGGAAAGGCTGGCCCTGGCCTGGCTAGGTGCCAACATCTGATTGATGGACTCATCTTTAGTGTCACATCGCGTCCGGCAAGACGCCTTGCGCTCAACCGTTCCAGAGTAGTCGGGTACGTGCAGGCAACAACACGGCTGGCCGAGCAGCCTGAGTTTATCATTGGTAAATTGGTCACACTTTTTCCCTCATCAAAACTGTTTAAGGTTCGAGGCAGTTTTCAGAAAGGTATGTTTTATTTCAACGGTCGTTGCTAGCGTTGGGGCAACGCTCTTGTGGCAGGAATGGGTCTAGGGGCAGAGCCGCCTAGTGTAACGATGGGGCTGTTGAGAGCAGGCGAAGTTGATATCCTGTCAAACAAGGCGCACAGCGAGCAGGTGATGGTGTTTCAAGGCGTTTCAGAACGGGACGGCTCGACGCCATGAAGCGATGCTCAACAGCGATGGGCAGACAACCCACGTGACTTCGGAGGACCGGAACACTTTTTCCGCAGGCGGGATCGGCACGGAACAATGTTCCTCCCGCTTCCACCGACAGGCCAAGAAGGTGCCACGGGTGCCTAAGAATTCAATACAAAGCTTGATACGAGGTACCAAAGTCATCTTCTTATCAAGCCAATTCAACCCCCACATTCTTCGCTATCCTGTCCCATTCGTATTTTCGATTGTCATCTATATTGCCATCACCGCCGGTTTCTGTGGGGCAAGGCAAATCCTTTCGGCTGTCGTTACGGCCCTCTCTCCCCAGAGCTGCCAACGAATGCGCATTATTCCTTTATGGATCAACGGTTTACCCAACGTATAGCTTCTGACTCGAGTTCCTCCATTAGTCAGAATATCCATCCTTATCTACCTAGCCTCTTGCCGAGAGATCATCGTATTGACGCATCAGGAAAGAAGGATCAAGTTCTGGTCCCTGATCCGCATAATGCTTGTGTCTCATGGCACGTTCGTGCTCAGTAAGATGCCAGGGCGTTTGGCAAAGAGATATACCGTACGAGCCACAGACAAGGCTATGCCAATGACCGGAGTGAAGCAACATGAAGCTACACAGATGTGCCAGGTAATGATATCATGTCCATGAGCGCACAATGATCAGGCAACAGTCTCTCCCATCCCAGCTAGTGAGTTCGTTCGGCTCGGTAACCGCGGCCCACGAGATGATCTGCATAAGTCAACTCAACACAGGAATCGACTGATGCCTGTCTAATCATCTTTACTAGATGTGGCAGGTCGCAGAGCATCCTCCTCGCATGCAACCTACTAATCTAAACCAATCATCACCATGCATTCTACATCGGATTTGAACGACTTCTCTAGATATACCGATATCCAGAACCTCCACAAAGGTTGGGGAAGGTCAAGTTTGGAGGTCGGATTCACGGATAAACGAGCTGGGATTTATATACAAAGACCCATGGTTGCCAGTCAGGTCTACAAGACTTTGTCCATCTAATCTACACTAGATTCGGTGGAGAGTACTGGCGCTCGCAATGGCCCGTCAACTATTGCTGTCAGTCTTGATTTTGCCATGTGTACTGGCTGTCTCTTTGCCAGTGAAGCTGCACTTGAAGCGAGCTGTTGACTCGAGTCTTGCCAATATCCACGTGTCCTATGACAAACCCATCACCACAGAGGTCGCGTTCACGTATGGTCCTTGCAAGGCTAAGACTCCGGGAGAAGCGCACCATCTTGTTGCCCGGTCCAATTCCTGTGACCACGATAGGCTTTTGTGGAAAGTCCCCGAAGACACTCCCACGGGCCATTGTCTTTCAGCATGGGACGCAAGACAGAACCTTCTTGGGCGAAGTGCTCCGGTGTCCATTGCACCTAACGCAAAGACCAAGCGCAGACGCCTCAAAAAGCGCCAGGCCGACTTCTCCATCCAGATGGACAACTCGAGCGGTATTGACGCGGAAGGTCCATGGTTCGACGGAGTAGTTGCCCTCAAGAACAAGGAGATCAGTGCGGTCAATGTCCAAGAAGCGAAATCCAAAGAAATCGCCATCGTCGGTGCTGGCATGGCTGGCCTCATGACTTGGCTGGCCCTCAACCAATCCGGCATGACAAATCTTTCTCTTATTGAAGCAGCTCAGCGGCTGGGCGGACGGGTCCATACTGCTTACTTCGGCGACCCAAGTGAGAGACAGTATCAAGAAATGGGACCAATGCGTTTCCCACTATCGTACACGTCATCTGAGACGAACCAGACGATACAGATCCAAGATCACCGCATTGTTTTTGATCTGGCTGCTGAAGTCAACAGACTGAACAATAACAATACCAATTTCACGGTCAATTTCATCAAATGGTACCAAAGTTCGCCAAATGGACTATACTACATTAACGGCGCCCGGAAACCCAACGGTCAAGTTCCGACGGTGTCAGAAGTGCGAGCGAATGCATCGTTGCTTGGGACGACTTCTTCTCAGCCAGACGACCCCAAGCTGGATGCACTTGACGAGCAGCTGAACGTTATCTACGAAAACGGTAGTTTCATCGATCAGATGGCTCGAAACATATACATGGCGCATAAGACATTCCTAGACCAAGGACTTGGTGGATTGGGTGGCGACGACTTTTCCGAATTCGCCTATGCTCACAATGTCCTGGGTTATGCGCTGAATGAGACCTTCGTTGAGCTTGGAGGCTCTGGAAGTGAGAGTTTTTGGGATAATCTCTTTGAATCAATGGTGAGTTGGTGCCTGCCTTTATCCACACTGACAATCTACTCTTGCAGGTTGACACAAGCCACACCATTTTTGAGATCTGGTCTCGACTGACGGCGCTGACATCTCGTTTTACTTTAGTACTTCTCTGCAACTGACTGGAGGACGATTGATGGTGGCTTGACCCGTCTTCCCAGTGCCTTCCACCGTACGTACAACTCTCGTGCAGCCTTACAAGGAATGACTAACGTATAGGTAACGCATAGCTCTTGTGGATGATGTGACGTTCATGAATCGCAAGATCCAGCGAGTTCAATACAACGAGAGCACCAAGAAGGTGACATTGCAATGGAAGGTTAAACCACTCGACAGTACGTTCCAGAACGCAAGCTATGACCTAGCGGTCGTGACTGTTCCTATGCCGCTCGTTCGAACATGGCGTCTCCCGGCGTTTTCAGATCTTCTTAAGACGGCCATCGACAGCTACCCTTACTCCCAAGTATGTAAGGTGGCACTCCAGTTCAAGACCCGCTTCTGGGAGCATTTCGAGAACCCCATCTATGGCTCCTGCAGCACGACCACCGATATCCCCGGTATCGGAAGCATCTGCTACCCAAGCTACGATATCAACTCGACTGGGATGGGGGTGATGCTCGCAAGCTACACATCCTCTGACGACGGGTTGCGTTGGCCGTCGATTCCGGAGGACGTTCACGTCCAATATGTCGTGGATGCCATGGCCGAGATTCACGGCCCTGTGGTCTACGAGCAGTATACTGGGGCCTTCAACCGGCGCTGCTGGGTGCTGGATCAGTACGAGACCATTAGCTGGGCTAGCCCGGACATTGGAATGAGGAAGGCGTTCATCCCGGCCTTTTTCAAGACGGAGCAGGGTATCATTATGAGCGGCGAAGGGACCAGCTATACCAGCTCTTGGATCTCGAGTGCTCTGGAGAGTGGCGTCCGAGCGAGTGTCCAGCTCCTTCTTGAGTTGGGCCTGGTGGACGAAGCAAAAGCCGTAAGTACAGCATTTCCTGGGCTACCCGAAAAACTCTTCTATGTCTCTTGCCATTTGCCATCTCCTATGCCAGACTAACAGAGGCCTCAACAGGTAACCGAGAAGTGGATGGCCAGATGGATTGACATATAGATCCCGAGTAGGGTAGGACAGGGAATCGGACATACATGCAGATATTGCCGCGATCGCCAGCCGCTCAGGTGGTTTCTTTCCTGCCCATATACCGATCAGTGTCAGGCGTGAAGACGAGGCTCAATCACATATGTCGATGATGACCATCTATCAGATTTTACAACACGCTTCTCCTCGCCTTCCCTTCCCTTCTTCCCTTCTTCCCTTCTTCCCTTCTTCCCTTCTTCCCTTCTTCCCTCTCTCCCTATCTTCCCTTCTCTTTAACTTCCATATTCTCTTGTCTTTTATTCCCATCTCAGATATAAGCGTGAATGAGTCTCGCTCACTCATTCTCTGGATATTATCTTTGACTGCGTCGTTTATTTGTCGATTTCACGGGTATGTCGTCCACTCAAGGTCCAAGCCCTCCCTCGAGCCTCAGGAGACTTGGAGTACTCGTTCGCGAAGTATTAAATCCGTGAGATTTCCTACTACGTACGTGAATAACGAATTCTAGAAGAGGTCGCAAGGGCAAAAGCGGTCATACTGTGGCGTGAAATACAACTGGTTGGCTACACGGTGTTTGTTCATGTCATGACGTGGACTTGGAGTTTTTCTCCCTGGGGTAGACATTTACAGTTTCGAGACAGGTAGCTATTGTGGATCCGGTGGAGGGAGACTTCCATGTCCAAGGACCAAGAGATGCTTCTGATCTCGTGGGTCTTGTGCGTGTCGAGGTCGGATATTATATTGAGGAGAACCTGTCAGGCTTTTCAGGTTCCAGCCAAGGCCATTTGACAGGTTGACAGGTTGAGATTTCTGCCCCTCAAGAGGTCCTTGCTTGTCTCCTGGAGTCCGTGCGCCTCAGAACGGGATCTGCTTCTACAGATGGAAGCCCTGTGGCTCTTGTCGACCTAGGAACCCCGAAGCCGGTCGCGTGTTTGCCATTCAAAGGAAAGAGACAATGTTGGAAGACGGCACGACATCGAGGGCGAGCATGTTCCTGCCCCTACTCCTGCCCCTGCTGCTATGCCCGTTCCTCTTCATCCTTTACCCAGTCGTCAACAAGCTGGTCGCTTACAAGGTAAGATCTCCAAGACATGAGGGAGCAAGAGGTTGTTTGATTCTGAGCAACTACAGAGAGATTCGGCGCTTGCCCATCGCATGCATTGCATGCCACCTCCAGAGCTCCCGAACAAATGGCCCCTGGGGATCGATTGGGTGCGTGAAATATGGACCTCGAATGCTGAAGGTCGTCTTCTGCCGTTCCTCTGCTCCATCGCAAAGGACTATGAGCCTCGCAATATGCTTTCTCAATACCTGCTCTTTGGCCCTCGTACCTTTCATATCCTCGAACCCCGGAATCTAGAGGCCGTCTTGTCATCAAACTTTGCAGGTGAGTCGCCATTCAAGGAAAGGCCATCGATTGCTCGTTCGTTCATTTGGGTATATGTGTCTGATGCGTGCCAAATAGATTACGGCTTTGGAGTCCGCGCAGAGATTTTCGCTCCTCTACTGGGCCAGGGTATATTTACGCAAGAGGGTGCTGCCTGGAAACATTCCCGGGAACTTTTGCGCAAGCAATTTGTCCGAGCACAGTATCAGAATCTCAGCCACTTCCAAGAGCATGTTGACAATCTGTTGAGCCATCTCCCGGATCAGGGAGTGGTTGATTTGCAACCCTTGTTCTTTAGCCTCACCTTGGACACAACTACTGCTCTGTTGATGGGAAAGTCGGTCTACAGCCTGAGAGCAGATATCGATCAAGACGCCGAAAATCGAGACTTCTCCGAGAGCTTCAATCTGGCCCAAGAAGGGCTTGCAAAGCGGTTCCGCATCGCTCCATGGCACGCTTTGTATAACCCACCAGCCTTTCGGCGGGCTTGCAAAACTGTCCACGCCTATGTGGAACGGTACATCGAGCAGAGGCATCTCTCCAACGAGAAGAGCCAAGACGCGTACAGCTTCATTGACCAGATAGCCAATGAGTCGAAAAGCCGAACCGAGCTGAGAGACCAGCTTCTGAACGTCCTTCTCGCAGGTCGGGATACGACGGCCTGTTGTTTGACGTGGACATTGTAAGATTTGTTCTCTGACCCATCAATCAAATCGCATCAGCACGCTGACAGTTGTCATGGGACCAAGTCGTCTTCTTGTTCGCCATCCTCAGGTTATGAAACGCCTGCGAGCAGAAGTTACCACTGTCATGGGCGACGGTATACATCCGTCGAGAGAACAGATCCGTAAAATGCCGTTCCTCGCGTGCGTCATCAAGGAGAGTGAGTTGCATGATTGAAGTCTGCAGGCTATGTTTGTCTCAGCTGGCTAATGAATCCCAGGTCTTCGCTTATATCCGCCAGTGCCTCTGAACAACCGGCAGGCTATCAAAACGACCCTCTTACCAACGGGTGGAGGACCTGACGGGAAGCAAATGATTCTGGTCAGAAAAGGTGAAGTAGTCGTGTTCTCACAGTACGTCAATTCCCGTGTAAAGAGCATATACGGGTCGGACGCAGACGACTTTCGCCCCGAAAGGTGGGAGGACAACGGACTCGCAAAGATTGGCTGGGCATATTTCCCCTTTAACGGCGGACCGAGACAGTGTCTGGGCGAAGATTTTGCACTTATGGAGGTCTCGTATACCATAGTGAGGCTGCTTCAGGCATGTTCCAGCCTTGATTTGCCGGACGGCGAGATCGTTGAACGTCTAGGCCAGGAGAAACAAAGGTTGACGCTCGTTTTGTCAAGCGCCGACGGCTGTAGGGTCAAGTACGTCCGACGATAGCAGATCTTTTGCGAGAATGTTGCTTGAATGTTCCATTGGCCGAGAGACAGCCTGACAGAGCTTCTGTAGCGCTTATTGTAGCTCGTAGTGGCTCGCAAAGGACTACATTCTGCAGCCAGGATAGACTTAGGATAGGTCGCTGGGTATTTTGTCCATTTGCTGGGCTGACAAGGGCTGGCTTCAGAAGGAGCCGACCTCGACCCAAAACACTGTTTAAGAACTTAGAGGTTGGGTGGAAGCTGATTTCCTGGAATGTCTCTTCACCCTGGTCGACCTCGATAGCCGGCGTCTAAGCCTCATGATAACCTTCGAGGCGTCAATCTATGCGGTGTGCACGCTTCTGTCTCAGGCGTCCAGACACAAAGCGGTCCAATTCCAGGTCAGGGGAGTCCTACCTGCTGCCTACTCCGCTGCCCACCAGAAGTTATAAAAGTTTCGAGCTGTCCTTCCAGTATTCAAGTACCCTCTCACTAACGCATGAGCTTACAGCAGAATTGGCGGGAAGTAGTCCACATGGGCCCGAATATACCAGAACAACAGGTGTTTGGGTTTCGCGAACTGTATCGACCTCAAACGGAAGAGCCCGAAGTAGAGTACGTGAGATTGAGCCGGATACCCCGAGCCATTTCCTATTGTTTTAGTATACTGAGATGGACAGTATCGTCGCCGTACACGGTCTCAATGGCCACGCCATCAACACCTGGACTGCAGAGAATCCTAGAAAGGGAGAGGAGCCCATCTGCTGGTTAAAGCACCAAGACTTCCTTCCAAAATATATCAGCCGTGCAAGGGTGTTGACGTGGGGTTACAACGCGAATGTCTCGTCCCTGAAAGGACCAACAAGCTCGGATCGGATACTCCAACATGCCCAAAGCTTGGTGCAACAATTGCAGGGGGACAGAACTGTGAGCAGATCATGCAGTTGCCCGGGCATGGCAGGAAATCCGATTGCTGACTGCAGTTTTCCAGCTGAATGGTACCAGCAAGAAGCCCATAATATTTGTTTGCCACTGTCTCGGAGGCATCGTTGTCAAGAGGGTAGGTTAAACCGCTGCTGTGGCTATCCCTCATCCATATTTGCTGATCAAGGTTGCCATGTCCAGGCACTGGCATACTCAGAAAGTCGGGCAGGACCGAAAAACTCGCATCTTCGTTCCATCTTCACCTGTACCTATGGTATCATTTTCTTCGGTACCCCACACAATGGTTCAAGCAAGGCACAGCTTCTCAATAGCCTACAAAAGGTCACGAGGTTGGCAATCCCGAGGAGGATACTGCGCATTAGATCAAATCTGTCAAAGGCCCTTGAGGAAGAGTCGGAAACGCTGCAAAATATCACGGATCAATTCGTCGCCTTGATGTCAAACTTCCATCTCATGTTTTTGTGGGAACAGGAACGCACTTCGATCCCTGGATTGGGTGCCTCGTACATTGTGGATGAAAGCAGTGCTGCTCCCGGCCTTCCCGATGTTGAGCGCTGCGGTATTGCGGCAGACCACCGAGAAATGTGCCGCTTTGTCAGTAGTAGCGATCAGGGTTTCCTCACTGTTGTTGACGCCCTACAGCGATATAGTCGAGCAGCACCAGAAGAGATAAAGACCAGGCATGCGCAAGAACTGTGGTTATTGAAGGCCAAGCAGCAGGGGGAGATTATGGGACTGATGAGGACGTTGGGCGGGCCACCAGTGCGACCGGATGGTCTGCTACCATTCCCTGTTGACGAGAATGCCTCTTCTGAGGCGCGATTTCTCAATCAGCGAGAGCAATAAGTGGGATAGACAGGACACAATGGGTAATCATATGTAGCAGGACCAGCGAGGACGGAGGAGGGGAAATTGGTGTGTGTCACTTGATGATGACTGGCTCGGTCTGGCTGCGCTGATCAACAAACTGCGGAATGACATTGTGCGGGGGAGAATCTTTCCCGGCGAATTTTCCCAGAACAGAAGCCAAACATCATTCACTGTTGTCCTGCTGTTGCTCACACCCAAACACGACGCCGATGTTCAAGTCGTTTCTTCTTTGAGGTAGTGCTCTAACTCGCAACTGAACACGCTGCAGCGTCTGCGCCTCCCCACTGCTGATATGTCATTACCTCCAGAGCGCATCAGCGTGAAGCGCAGGAGACAGGAGGAACCTGTCGAGGCACTATGTATTTCCCACTGCCATCTACACCCTCAGAGTAAGAGCTAATCCAATACCACCAGACCTCGAACACGGCAATGGCCCAGACAAAAAGCGGAGAGTCACGGAATTCTACTTTAAACGCGTCCAGCCCAATGTGATTGCCCCCATTTCTCAGCGAGTCACCAGCCCTCAAGCGGTGTGGTCAGAGCCTCCTGCTCCTGGTATTCCTCCAATTCGTCTCAGCTCACCGAGCGATCTGAAAAAAGACCCCAAGGAGCCCCGGGAATCCCCCCCTGAAGAAGATGTTGCAACACAAGAGGACTGTGGGAAAGCGTCTGAGAACAACGCCGAGGATCCCGGCAGCAATTCAGCTCCAAACACGCCTGCCCCAAGTCAAGCACTCCAGCAAACACGCCGTTTCCACCTCACTCGTCACCTTTCGTCAGTGCTTAGTCCAAGCGCTTCTGGTGGGATTCGCAAACCCAAGAACTTCATTCGCCCCCCTCTCGCTACCTTTGTTGAAAGACACGCTCCCATCTTCAGCCACGAGCAGAATCCGCTGTATCGTCAAAAACCAGTTGATAAGGTGCTGGAAATCCAACGAGATGACGGGGTAGGGGTTTCAGAATCGGACCCAGTCACAGAACCGACCCTGGAAGCCTTGAAGGCATCTAGGCGAAGCACGACGAGTACGTTTGTTCAGGCAGGCTCCCGAACAGCTAGGAACGGGACTTCTATCAGAGACCATCCAAGCACTTGGGATCTCGAATCTGATCAGCTTGCGGATGAATTGGCTGCCCTTGCGATGGAACTCGATCCGGATGTGCAGCAAGTGGCCGAAGTGGTGCTTCCTTCGCCACCTCCCTTGAAACCCCAGGATGTTATGATGACTTCTCGTGATCGAGAGGAGGAATACGTCTACGAGACTTATGTCCGCGTGGAGTACGATGCTCAGGTCCATGGTCCAGATACTACCAAAAGTCTCAACTCCAATTATGGAATACTCGTTATTGACGAAGAAGACGAGGACCTCTGGCAAAAATACATCGATAGTGACGACGACACTGATTGGGACGAAGAGGACTCAAACGGTAAGCAACCAAGATATTCGTAACGTTGACATTCTGACTCTGGACAGCTGAGGATAATCCCGCAAATGACTACCCGGAAGAAGAAGTCAGTTCAGACGATGAGTACGGGTATAACCCGTACAAGTATCGTACCTATGGATCTGACCAAGAGGACTTCGGCGATGATCATACTTTTCGATAAAGACTGGCGATCGTTCCTGGAACCCGTATCAATCAATAATGCAACCGCGAAAACCCAGATCAGCACCGACGAGGACACTAAGCCGTCCTGCTCTACTCATTACCACACGAAACCACCAAACCTGAATCCTAAAATGACTTCTCATGGAACTTTGGAGACCACCCCATCAATGCCTACCATGATTGTCATCACGATGTGACACTGGACAATAAAGCTCCCACTCATATCTTGTTCTGCTGGGCACAAATCTTGTAAGTCGGATTTCGGCAGTCATCTGTGGCAAAACACGGCAGAGGAGGTCTCGATTGATCCTCTGGTCGCATCCAGGCAAATCGCTCGGCGGTTCTGTCCACCACTCCAAACCTGCCGACAAGGTCTCCTCGATATCTGCGTCCGGATTTTGCTTGTTCTCTCACTTTCTCGACCTTTGCTTCGTGGAGAACGCGATAGAATTTGCATTGGAGTCCAGATTTCTTTCTGACTTCGCCGAACTGACGGAGGAACTCTCTTTCGACGTCGTCCCAGGCTTCTTTCAGGTCTGTTCGGTGATACCAAATGAAATATCGTTGCTCATTTGTGTATTTCTTGCAGCCCCGACGAGGACGTCTGCGCTTTCGCCCCGCGATCGATGACTCAAAAGAGCTAGCGGACGTGGCCTCGCTTGGACAATAGTCGGTGAAGTCTCTGCTGTCCGTGCCATCGTCTATTGACTGGACCTCGTTGGGTTGGCTTGTCTGGTCGTCGGTCTTTTGGTCCTCGTCTTGACTATCGTTCAAGACTGATGCAATGCTCATTTTATCAAACCTACCACGGACTCTCTGTACCCCGTGGTCATGATCGCGGGGAGAACAAGACATTTGGAGAGTGCTTTCAATCCAGGAGAACCAGGCAGATTGATCAGACTTGGGAAAGTGAGAAGGAATCGATAAGGAGGGGAGAGACAATGATCCTTCTGTTTTGAGGAGAGGAGCACAAGAAACGCAGCAGAATCCATGGCGGTCAATGCAGCGACCTTAATAGGCCCTCAAGTCGACCCGACAGAGTGGTTCACGCCAGCGTGATGCATACAACTTGTATTTCTGAGGTATCGCCAGGAGTCTGCGACGTACAGCAATCCAGGCTGGACGGCCATACGCCAGACTAGGCCCAAAGATGAACGGCCTCTGACCCTGAGGAGTAGGAAGTCCGAACAGTCTACCCGACAGATCGGGGATCTGGTGCACACCAATATGAACGTAACAGTATTTCGGACCGGCGCCTCTCAATCACCAGGTTCCATTTTTTGTGGCCTTGTAAGGCAGTCCAGCAAGGAGTCTCCACAATTTACGAGCGATACGACGAAGACAGACTTCAAAACTTACCTGGTAGGCAGGTTCTTTCGCACACTGGAGAGTTTCTGCATCTCTTTCCAATGGGTATGCCCTTATTCTCGACTATCCTGTCTTCAGTCTCGCGGTGATTGTGGAGCAACAGGGCACGGGCCATGAGGCCATCACCTCGTAAAGGCTGATCAATCAGAGCTGAAAGCTACCCTCCACAGTGCTCTAGGAGCCCGAAACCCCTAGCTTGTTACACAAACAAACAATGTGGCGAGTATCTCA